TACCTTCTATCTGAATTAGGGCGTGGTTCAAAGCCACTTGTTCTGAAGCTCTAGGCTTATTGTACCCCTCACAGTTTTTGTTCCATCAGATTGATTTTCTTGATGAATTCAAGAATATGTCTGATGGGCGCTTTCGCGATTTCTTCAGGTTCCGAATATTGTACCCCGAAGTACCATTCCCCTTCCCATTTAAGCCTCCGGCAGTGGCATAGTATGTGAAAAGGAGTTTCGTCCTCTTCTTCATCAGATATCCCTAAGAGATTTTGGCATCTTCTAAGGCCGCAGTGTCTCGTAAGGAGTCCTATTACGGCCTTGAGTTTGCTTCTGCTAAGGTTTAGCAGTTGATGTTGTCTGCTTGTGAATTTCCCCTCTATGAATCTTATGGACTATCTAAGCCCAGGAAGTTCCAACCAGAGCCTATGGTATTCTCTATTTATTTGTTCCTTTAACACTCATTTAACATGTAGGTATGAGATACCACATGTGGGTTTTGGTCCAATAAGAGTTTTTTCTGCTCCCTTCTTTACTAGGAGGTCTGCTTTCTCGTTTCCAAACATTCCCTCATGTCCTGGCACCCATTCAAGGGTGACCTTGTTATGTTCTGCCAGGGTCTGGAAGGACTGTTGGCAATCAAATATTGATTTAGATTGTACTTCTATTCTTTTCAGTGCTTTAAGGGCTGCCTGACTGTCATGATAAAGATCCTCTTATCTCTAAGAAAGTTCTAGCACGACTTTGGCGCAGGCATTTATTGCTGTTACTTCAGCCTGGAAGACTGTTGTCAGTGACCCCAGGTTCAAACTAATTGTCCTCCTTGAGTTCACATGGTAGATCCTAGCTCCTGTGCTGGTTTTCATTTTCGAATCGTCTGTATACCAAATTGATTCGTTTTGTTTTTCGTTATTTTCCCGGCTTTTGGCCCTTTCTGGTATATAAATATCGAAAGGTTTCCTGAAGTGAATAATGGGCGTTCTATTATCCGATGGCATTCTTAGTACCGGATTGTGTTTTAATTTCTCTAATATCATTGTGTGGTGTCCTTTTTTCGAAAGTTCCCATCCAAATCCATTAGTAAACAGCCTGTATGCCGCCGCCATAGCCTCCTTCTCCACTACAAGGTGTAGTGGAGGAAAACCTAGCAGTAGTTCCATTGCTGCTGTGGGCGTAGTTCTAAATGCTCCTGTTATTATTAGACAGGCTAGTTTTTGCACCTTGTTTAATTTTCTGTTAAGTTTCTTTTAGTCTTGTGCCACCATATGACTGATGAGTAAGTTATTACAGGAGCTACAACCGTAGTGTAAAGCCAGTGCACCATACTTGGTTTAAGCCCCCATACGTTCCCTACCATCCATCTACAGGCCCATAGTATTTTTACAGCCTTTTCTGTTGTTTTTTCATATAAAGCTCCTTCATTCCTTGAAGGTTCCTTTTGCTTGTGAATGCAACAACAGAGATTTTTGTCGGCTTTGTGGACAATCCCTCTTTTAGGCACCATCTTTTGACGATATTTAGTGCCCGCTGCATCCTTTCGGATACAACAAACCCAAATTTACCGTTTACTACGATGCTTATGTCGACTGTATATGCTTGCGTGTGTTTTCTCTCTGTAACTCCTATAAGAGGTCATCATCCACATAGGTCCACATAAGAGGAGATAACACTCCTCCCTGCGGGCATTCCTTGTTAACTGAGACCTCTCTTGTTGTGATAAGGAGATTACTGTTAATGGTTCTATGATTAAGCATGAATTCAACCCACCTCGTAATGCAGTAAGCTTAGAGCTGCCTATAAAATGACTATCAGAGGACGGTTCCTATACCAGGTAGTTACAGACCCTTCGAATACCCTCAAGTTTCTTTATAAAAACATAAAGGTGGTGCTTTATACGCGTAACACGTGGCAACTACGCAGATCCCCTAAACAAATAAAACAGTGCCATAACTGCCAAGCATGGGGGCATGTTACCTAAAATTGTGGCAGACAAGCAAACTGTCTAAAATGTGCCAGCAAACATTTAACGAAAACTTGTTTAAAATCACGAAAGACACCCGTTAAATGTATTAATTGCGATGGAAACTACCCAGCCAATTTCTCAAAATGACAAACATACTTGGAGAGGCTAACCAGAAACAAATACAATCCAGTCTTAGCCCCTGCAGAGAATGTTTGGGATAAAAAAAGATACTCCAACTATGTAATTAAGGAATTATTAATTAAAATTTTTGTAACGTTTTTAATATAGAACATTTTATTATAGTTGGAAGATCCTTCAATGTGGGATTTGGGAGATTGTTTAGCGGGGGCGACTACATTTTAAGGCCGCATGGCCACGTGTCCCACCTCAAAAATACCAGAGATACCAGAGAATAAAATACTTATTAAAAAAATATTATTTATTTGTTTGTTTGTTTTATAATTTTTCCTATCGTCTTGACATATACTATAAGTGTTATGTATAATGTCCCTTCCAAGTCCTTCCTATAATAACAATTTATGAGCTTTTTGACTGGACTATCGACGGCCGCAAACAGTTTGAGACCCACGTCTCTATGGAAACGTAGTGGGACACACGCTATTGGGTATGTCTTGCAGTCGGCAGTTTTAGTGCAGAACAGGGTGCAATTTGGACAAATATGGAATCAGAGGCACTGTTTTAAATTTCTTTACGTACTAGGAAGCAATATATTTCTTTAAAAGTACAAAACGACAACAAAATCAATACTATTAATTCTGATACACTAGATTAATATGGGAGTTCCTCAGGGTTCAATTTTGGGACCCATATTGTTCATACTGTTTGTAAACAATGTTGACTCATAATAGGTGATAATCATTAGGTATGTAAGCTATGTAGATGATTACTCGGATATAATTTCAGCTAAAAATGCGGATCTACTAAACAGAGAGAGCTTCAACATCGCTCAAAATATAGTCTTGATTTATTTTTTAAATGCTAATAAGACTGAGGTGATTAGATAACAGGCAAAATAACTTTGAGCCCCTAGAGATTAGTTGTGAAAATGTCCTTCTTAATAATGGAAATAATAGCATTCGCTTTCTAGGAATCCAAACAGATCAACCCCTAGATTGAAAAGACTATTGTAAAAGACTGGTTAAAAAGATTAACTTGCCAAAGTTTCTTTTCATGAATTTTCGATCTATACTTGAAGTTCGTCAATTAGTTATGGTGTATTTTGCACAAATAGACTCACGTCTAAGATACGGTGTATGCTTACAGGGAAATTCAACCTACTCTAAAAATGTTTTTTTGTCTAAAAAAGAGTCCTGAGGGTGCTAAGATCTCAGAAAGATACTCTTGTCCACCATACTTCAAGGAATATGACATATTACTCTTTTGTTTTATTTTTATTTTTGAAATGTACCAATACACTTACAGTAAAACGGTATTACTGTTACAGTAATAATGTCTTACCAATTTAGCAAAACTGTTTCACTGCTACAGTAATAATATTTTGCCACTATAGTAAAACGGGTTTACTGTTATAGTAATAACGTCTTACTATCATGGTAAAAACGTTTTACCAAAATTTAATTGATATTAAAGGCCGAAAAATAAACTCTTTTATCTTTCGCATCATAGAAAAACATTTACAAAATAAAAAAAAAAAAAAAAAAAAAAACCATTTATTTTGAAACCATCACAGCAGGTATAAAATACAAATTACAATTATATCGTTCTATGCTAAACGGGCGTATTTCTATAAAAAATTGCATTTGATTTACGCTCCTATCTTCCGAAAGCTTGGGGAAATACCCAAGCATCTTCCAGGCGGAAATTCACGCCATCGAGAAGTGTATCCAGTTTAACATCGAGAGAAACTATCATAGACAAGAGATTATCATCATGTCCGATAGTCAAGCAGCCATCAAAGCGCTGAGTTCTTACGTAATCAGCTCAAAAATGGTCTGGAGATGCCTAGAACAATTGAATGAGCTAGGCGAGAAAAATAGAGTTACTCTCACTTGGGTCCCGGGACATAACGGGGTACAGGGTAACGAGATTGCAGATAGTCTTACAAGGAAAGGGGCTCAAACACCCTTTGTAGGACCTGAGCCGTTCTGCGGTATCAGCAGTAACATAATATTAGGAGAGATTAAAAAAGAATTGGGTAGTAGAAGAACCGATAATTGGAACAATCTCTTGGGGCTGAGAAAGGCCAAGATACTTCTGGGTAAATATAACCAGAAAAGATCGGAAGCTTGCATCTGCCTAAGCAAGAACAGGCTACGTATTGTAACAGGGATCCTTACCGGGCATTGCCGACTAAGAGGACACCTAAGTAAACTGAGAGTAGTAGAGGATAGTGAGTGCAGATTCGGTGAGGAGGAGGACGAAACCTCCCTTCACATCCTAACTGAATGTGTAGCACTCCAGAATCCAAGGGCACTATATCTAGGATGATATCAAATAGAAGAGGGAGATTTACCTAACTTGAAGCCACTTCAAATCCTACACTTCCTTGAGAAAATAGGATTGCAAGGGTCGCTATAGGCATTGAGACATTTCCTTAGTGCAGTGGCGACAGAAGGGGGCACAATAGATCTTTTAGGTCGCAGTGTATTAACACCCCATTCTCAATATAACATAACATACGCTCCTATCGTTTTATGCTAAACGGGCGTATTCTTTGTAAAAATTGCATTAGACTTACGTCCCTTTAACATGGAGCGATGAAAAAGTTTTACAGCCGCAGTAAACTTTTTAGTAGTAACACTTTCTTACTGAAGCGTTTTCCTCAGTGTAAGTATATTAGAAAAACTTAACTTATTCCAGAGGGGTTACTCTGAATCTTATTCAATACGCCACTGCCTCCACAATTTTACTGCTGCCTTAAAAGCAGACAAATCTTATCTGCAAAATGCGCCCAAATTTAAAATAGTGATTTACCCATAGACGGTATTGATAAATTTCAATTTTATCGGCCGTTGAATCCGAGCAACTTCCTTTATTGAAAACTGATGTAGTGCCATTTTTCCAGATCACTCCGAGATTGTGCAAGCAGAATTCTGCAGGGGCGGCGGATTTGGAGAAAATCGAGGAGATTCCATTAAGGATTCCGTCGGTGTCTCCAGGCAGTGTCTCTCCAATTCCACGCACTTTATCTATATCGGCGGATTCATTGATACACTAGCTGGTGCTCCGGAGGGTTCCATCGCCTCGGCCGATTCGAACAATAAAAGTTTTTCATTGACAATCAATTTTATTTCGTACAGTTTTGTTTCATTTAGGTAATTTGAAATTTGTTTTTATTGAGAGAAAGGATATGTTACTAATTTTGGAGAATTTATTTTTGGATTTTGAGATAAACTAATGGTAAATATTAGAATTTTATTCTATTTTTTAAAGGAACTCCGAACGAGGCTTGTTTTTCTGTTTTGATAATTCGTTAAAGTAATTAGGTTGATAAATAGGAGCAAAGAGGCTTAATATACTTGTGTCCTAAAGTCTAAAAGTGCGTATACACATGACAAAGCACGCATTAGCTGCGTCAATAACGAGTTATTTTTTTGGATTTTTTTTTTAATTTATAATATTATTTCAAAAATATATTTTATTTTTCGTAATATCCGTTTCCGAACACGATACTTTCTTCCATGGTTTTAAATTAAAAATATTCTCATTACTTTTGAGAAAACTGTGTAGCATAATTTTTTTAGGAAAACTAAGGTCATAGATTTGTAACATGTATACGTAAAAACAATATGCAATCAGAAATAATAAAAACAAACAATAAAACATTCAGTTTATATAACTGTATTTAATACTTTATTATTGTGCAAAGAAAACTTTTATTTCAGGTACTTAAATGTATATTTTTCATAGGAAATCTTGTAAAATATAAGTTAACTTATGATCTCTTCTTACCAAATGAATAATTTAGTACAAAAAAAAACTAAGTATTTAAAAATCCTAACTTTTTTCCATTAGTTATAGATTATTTATGTTTCATTGTTGTTTGCACATAAATTATTTATTGTATTATTAGATTATTAACGTTTGTTTGACAGTTTAAACAGGATGTTTTTTAATTTGAGTTTTGATTTATCTTAGGCTATATTAAATCAGAGTTGATGTTTAGAAAAGTTTAAACTGAAAAAAGAGATTTCTTACTTTTATGTCTCACCAAATATTTGGTCTGGGATTGTTTCTAATAAGTACAAAAGTATTCAAAGTTTACAACTCCTACCTGCAGCAGATTTTTCACGGCAGTCACTCTGCGCTAATTCATCGTTACCATAAAATGTATAATTTTTACTTTAAAGCCTTTTTCGGAGTAGGAGAAACTCGTGTGGCATGCGAAAGCGTTGCGGCGTGGTTATTTTACCGATAACGCAACGCTTTCGCATCGTCAAGCGCTGCTCCTATTCTGAACAAGGCTTTAGAGCAGTGGTTCTCAAACTTATTTTGCCCACCGTCCACTTTGAGAATAAACAATTGTGTAGTGCCCCCTAAAATTTTTTAAATATATTATATTTCATAAACAAACAAAAATAGAACCGACTTCAACAAATTCACTAAAAAGTAAAAAATACTTAATTTTCTTACAGTTAATTAACAATAAATAAATTGTTCTTTCCTCGTATTCCAAATCATAGGTGGCTCCGAGAATATCCTTTCATTGTCATGTGTCTATGAGTGTACTTCAAGCATTTTATTGTGAAATTAATTATTAAATATTTGGAATTTAAATTCCTAAAAGAAAATAACGTTCCATTTCCTCAAGATCAGAAAAGGGAACATCGTCAAATAGGAGAAAGAAAGAAGTATGATAAATTGGTTAAAAAGATGAGAAAATTGCAAAAACAAATTGAGAATTTTTCGTCCGATAACGAAATCGAAAATTCTTTTAGTAAGTTGATAATTTTAATTGCATACAAGTATTTTTCAGATTTCGATTTTATTGTGACGATGAATTTACTTTTATTTACATTGGCATTCGAGTAATGGCATTTTTAATTTTGTATTCCTAGTTTTTTTTGGATTGTGGCAAGCGAGTCTTGGCCGAACTGTTTATCATCACTTTTTTGGGTGATCGAGATATACAATCAGCTAGAAATATGCCAGTATTATAGTCTATTTTTATGTATGAGAGAGTAATAAAACAGCATTTCTAATGCAAAACTTAGTACGGTCATTTTAAATATTTTTACAGAATAATCTAAATATTTCCTAAAATTGTAATAAATGTACCTGAGCTATTACAAGTTTTGGGTCTTTTATTGGTCCTTTATAAACATAAGCTGTACAGAACAATAGAAAAAGGTTTGGACAGGCCAAAAGCCCTGTGTATTAAAGATTACATATCCGTATCTTAAGATTATTTTCAATAAGTACCTATTTGCCAATTTTGTTTTACATTAATTCCAAGAATTTCTTACAGTAATCGAATTATAAGTAGATAAATACCTTCCCAACAAATTTCACCGAAAATGCGATCATAGGTTTTCCATTTAGTAAGGAGGTCCAAGTTGTGTATTCTTGACAGTTTACTAAATGTCCGTTTAGTTGCAACTTGCAAGGTGCAGTGCGAATTCTAGTGTGATCATGGAAAATTTGGAAGGGCCGCGTAAACGACAAAAAATCGGTCCTTTAACAGTTAATGAAAAAACATTAATATTTAATTTTTTTAAATCATTTACAGACAAACATTTATGTAAAAGTGTTGATGACACAGTGGAATTAGTTAGTAGTACGCTTGGTGTTGGGAAATCTACGATTTACAGAGTTGTTAAAGAAGAGAAATGTGGCGAGTTTCAAACAGCACGTAAAGCTCCAGGAAAACCAAAATTTCAATTAGAAAATCTTTTGAAAGAAAGACTTCGAAGGAAAGTGCATGCGTTCTTCTTTAGAAAAGAATTTCCGACAGTAGACAAAGTTCTTGCCACGGTTCGAGATGATAATAGATTACCCTGAAATGAGTCGAAGCACACTATGGAAACTTTTAAAAGAAATAGGTTTTCTATGGAAAAAGCATTCCAGAAAGTCTATTTTAATAGAAAGAAGCGATATTGTAGTATGAAGAAGAAATTACCTAAGGACCATAAAAGAAATGAGAAACCAAAGAAGAAATATATTTTATTTAGATGAAACATGGATCAACGAGGGACATAAACCAAATAAATTTTGGCGAGATGAAACTGTTACAAGTCGAAGACAGGCTTTTTTAAATAATTTATTCACTGGTTTAAATACACCATCAGGAAAGGGGCGCAGACTAATAATAGTACACATCGGTAGTTCAAACGGTTTTGTTAAAGGTGGTTTATTGACTTTTGAATCTACTCGTACCGGTGACTACCATGAGGACATGAATGCTGATGTCTTTAAAGAGTGGTTCGAACAAATTATAGATCTTCTTCCTCAGAACTGTATAAAAGTAATGGATAATGCAAGTTATCACTCGAGACTTATAGAAAAAATGCCCACAACTAAGTGGTTAAAACAAAATTTACAGAATTGGCTAAATTCAAAGAATATTAAGTTCCATCCCGGTTCTGTGAGAAAAGAACTGTATCATTTGTGTTCCCTTCATAAAGAGAAATTCAAAAAATATGAATTTGATGAAATTGCAAAAAATCGTGGGATGACAGTGGTTAGATCACCACCATATCATTGCGAAGTAAACCCGATTGAACTGATATGGGCACAGATAAAGGGAGAAGTTTCAAGAAAAAATAATTCTTTTAAAATGAGTGATGTTGAACAGTTGTTTTTGGAGGCTGTAAATAATGTGAAGCCTGAAAACTGGGAAAAGGCAGTAAATCATACGATTAAAGAAGAAGAGAAAATGTGGAAGTTGGACAATATTACTGATGAAATGATCGAGCCACTCATTGTAAATATTGGTTGCGATAGTTTATCTTCTTGATTTCGATTCTGATTTGGATTTGTAGGCAAGAAGTAGTTTTTATATTAAAATTATTATTTATGAACGTAACGTTGTTTAAAAGTCAAAGTTTAAACCCTTATACCTACATAACCCGTTTGACACAATGTTCTTAACATACCTTGTGGAAAAATAAAACATTTTAGAAAAAATTGCACTTTTTTACCTTCAGCTGTTTAGAAGTTATAAGCAGGTTAATTAGGTGAAAATATAAGTGTATACTCGAGGAATAACTTGAAAAAATATTTTAACTGTCTACTAAAAGAAGTGATACGCCTATGGATTACGAACGCTTTATTATTTTAATACTCTCTCATACATAAAAATAGACTATAGTGGATGTACACGCTGGAGCACGGATGCCGAAATGCTAAAAAAAATAAAACAAAGCCACCCTACCCTACCCTACCTCATAAATAGATTGGAACTGAAACTCGTACCGTACCGATAGGAATTATCTCATGTACGAATTCGTATTAACAAGTTTTAACAGATATTCCTGTCGATTCGTGCATGATTGCCGGCGGAATAAGTTTATTTGGATTTCGCCATGATAGTACAGTAGGTAGCAGTGGTGGATCATAAGAAATCAAAGTATTATTGTGTGCGCTTCAAGAAAGAAATTTACACAACTTCCTACATAGTAAGTAGTGAGTAAGCCACTTCAGCACAAATTTTCTATTTTTCACAATATCTGGGGAAATGTAAAAATACCTACCATCTACCCCATGTATTGCGACGTTGCCACATTTACTAAGTTTCCCAGATCTTTTGAAAAATCAAAAATTTTTGCTGAAGTGGTTTAGTCACTGCTATAGTAACTAATAAAGTATTAATTAAAAACGCGTTAATATAAAACAATACAACAATAACGAATTTCTCTAATATACTACTAGACGACATACATAATTTAACTAAAAAGATGAAACAAATGGATTTTTTTTAAGTTAAGCGATTTTATTAAAAAAATACACTAAAAACTAAAAATAATTTAACAAATCCCTGTTGAGTAAAAAACAGTATTAGTGGCATGTTATTACTTCTGTGGTTTGGCCCATCATCGACTTACAATTTTATTTCAAAAATATGCCAATAACACTGTTTTGTACTCAATAGGGATCAGTTAAAATATTTTTTATTTTTAAGTGCAATTTTTTATTATTATTTTTATCACTGCACAAATGTACCAATGGAAAAACCGCTACTAGTAGGTAGGTATCTACTGAAGAACTTTGAGAACCACTGCTTTAGAGCAAACAAATAATGTAATTAAAACCAAAAACAACACAAATACATAACGATTAATATTTTACACAAATACATTTTTTGCTGTATTTAACAGGATCGTACTCAGTAAGTTTTATTTACAGAGTTTTAGATGCACTTGAAAATAGATCTCAACTTAGAAAACATTCTGTATAATTGTTTGAATATATATGTTCATGTTACCTATATTTGTATATTTGTAAAATCATGTTTAAATATTTAAATGGTTTAAAACCCAATTATTTTTTTTTATATTATAGAAACTATTTTGATAACGGTAATTGTAAAATATACGACACGCTCTATTAGAGAAAATATAAGTATTATACTAAACTAAAGTATAAATATGAAACATTTTCCGCTAGTTTTCCAGGAAGACTATGATGATAATCAGCTGACACAAATGGGACTCCGATCCAGCACAAAAAAAATTAATAGCACATTTTAATCGACTGATATTTTCCTACTACATTTTGGACTATGGATGTACATTATATGGTGCGTCGTCAAAAACTAATTTGGTAACCATAGATCGTATTCAGTATAAATCCCTGAAAATTTGTTGGGGAGTTATGATATCCTCACCTAATCAGGCAGAATTGGCTAAAATTCAAGAACCCC